GGTGAGGTGGAAAGGGTGGGGCTGGGCAGGAGCTTTACAGCAGGAACTGTTCCATGAAGCCTGGGGATTTGGGGTCACCTCTGCTAGAGCAAATAGAAGGTGGGGTTAGCAGGGGCCAAGGAAGGCTTGAACCCCCATGTCCTTGGGAGCTCTCCTGCCATTTCTGTGACAAATTACCCTGCCTTCTAAAGAGTCTCTGGACCTAGTCTTAATAGATGGAACACAGGTTAAAGGAAGACATAAACGGGAGGAGGATCAAGCCTTCTCCTCTCCACTTTTAGTCTCAAGGGAGGGGATGGAAACAAGTGTAGATGAGTTAGGTGGGGAGAGGCTAGAGTCTGTGCTTGAGGTGAGATTTTGTGTGTGTGTGATTTAGGTCAAAGTTTACAGAGCAAATTCATTCTCCGTACAGCAGCTCACATATACTTTGTCGCATGACATTGACCGCAACCTTCCACAATGCAACAGCTCTCTTCCTACTTCCTCCCCCTAGTTACCTCTTCCCTGTGTCCTTCCCTCCCATGCACTCCTGCCCCCCGAGCTGTCTCCCTGTGCATACACAGCCCTTCTGTTCTCCGTGATTGATCTCTCCAAGGAGTGTATCTCCCTAGTGTAAATGTTCAGCTCATCTGCCTGTCTTTTGTTTGGCTAGAAGCCACAGGAGTGGTTCAAATCCAGACCTGAAGGGCGGCTAGGGGCCATAGTCTCAGGGGTTCCACCAGGCTCTATCAGACCAGCAAACCTGGTCCCTTTTTTTTTTTTTTAAATGATTTTGAATTTTGTTCCACGTTGTTTTCGCACTCTATTGAGGAGAGATTTTTAAGGCATTCTAGAGGATTTTAGAGTGTTTAGGAGAGGGCAGGGCCAGACACTCAGTTCCAGAGAAGAAACACAAAGGATATTTGGGGAAGAAAAGGAGATGATTCACTAATGCAGAATTTCTACTGTTCCGCAGAGGAGATAGCTAACATGGAGTCTTCTGGGTCATGAGTGGGTTTAGGAGTTTTGTTCCTGTTTGCAGGGACTTGGGGGTGGGGGTTACTCAGGAAGAAGAGCTGCCTCTGCTGTTACCCAGGACTGGTGGCTTTGAGACAGTGGTCGCCTAGAGTAGAAGACAAGGTGCCTGGCCCATTTTTGGCCTCTGATAGAACCTGGACACTCTGCCTCTACCCCCCAGGGTGCTCTGTGGCTCCATCACCTGCCCAGATGGGCCCAAGCTGGAGACACCCCATTCCCTCCCTGGCCCACAGGTGAATGTGCTGGCCCTCAGCATCTGCACACGGGAAGCCTACCAGTCCATGAAGGAGCGGAAGGTGGATGATGGGCACATCATTAACATCAACAGGTAAGGGTGAGGCTGACGGGTCAAGTCCAGGTTATCATTCATCCTCTACACTGGGCTATCTGAGGCAGCTCACTCGACCTCTTTGGAACTTAGTTTCCTTGGTGGTAAAATATCATGATCATGGTCGGGGCATGAATGAAGTATGTCAGGTGCCAGCCCATAGTGGGTGGAATGGGTAGCTCAGCCCCTTTGCTTCGCAGCTGAAGGGTCTGAGCTTTTCCATTCTGCAGGCTCTGGGTGAACCCCACTTTGTGATAAAAAGGCACAGTCTCTGCCATCAGGAGTGCCCAGGCTGAGAGGAGAGACAGGGCCTCTGTCCCCAGAGTTCTCTCGGTAGCACAAATCACTGAACACCCAGATGAAATTGAGATGCTTTGCCATCTTGTATGGCCAGGAGAGAAGAGCCTGTGGTCAATGTAGGGAGGACTCCTAGGAAGAGGAGGGCTTTCAAGAGGTGCTTGAATAACAGAGGCTAGATTAGTGGGCCATGGAGATGGCCACTCTTCTAAAGGAGAGATCTCCTGTAGAAGGCTTCTCTGTCAGCATATGGGTGGTGGGTTCGTGATATGATCAGGTGGGGTTGGGAGACTTGATGGGTACAGCAGAGGGTGCTGCCAGTCTCGCAGGTGCCTCACTCGCTTTTCTCTCCCCTTCTCGTCCTCCATCAGCATGTCTGGCCACCGAGTGATAGCCCAGTCGGTGACCCATTTTTACAGTGCAACCAAGTACGCCGTCACTGCCTTGACAGAGGGACTGAGGCATGAGCTTCGGGAGGCCCAGACCCACATCCGAGCCACAGTGAGGGTCTCGCCTAGCCCTGGCAGGGATGGAGTGGGCACAGGATCCCCTCTCTACCTCTCCCACACTTCCCAGGAAGCCCAGGTCCAGGGTATGCTGCAAGTGGGCTGGGTACAGAACTCCTGGGCTCTGTTTCATGGCCCTGCTCAGTACTTGCATTTCCTTGTTTCATTGGTCCAGGAGCCAATGACCAGACTTACACTTTGAGGTGGGAGTGGGTGAGGAAAAGGGAAAACAAGGGATTATAGGAGACCAGGTGTGCAATAGTTGAAATCCCACTCTGGGCTGTTCTTGAAGGCCACATGACCTTGGGCAAGTCAATCAATCTTTCCAAGCCTTAGTCTTCTCATTTGTAAAATGGAGATGATGACACCTAATTATGAGGCTTTAAGGGGCATCACTTTGTAAAGCATTTACATAGCATATAGTAAGGCTCTGTAGAGAGCAGGAATCATTGCGATCATCGCCAATGGCAGCTGTGGAGGCAGGAGGTGGCTGACATTGGGCAGCCATCTCTGTGAAGCTGTGATCTCCATCCTTTTGTCCCAGCCTTCTCAAAGGCCTAGCCTCTGGTTGGGGCAGGGGTGGGGCAAAGCTCCGCCTTTGAGCAGTCCCTCTCTGTTGGCCCAGTGTATCTCTCCAGGGGTGGTGGAGACACAGTTCGCCTTCAAACTTCATGACAAGGACCCTGAGAAGGCAGCTGCCACATATGAACACATGAAGGTGGGGCCTCCCTCTGGGTCTGGTGAAGCCACTCACTCCCTAAGTGTAGGCCAAGGGACCCCTGGCCTTCAGATCTCCAACCTTTTAGCCTGGTGACCCTCCTGAAGGGATGGGGTGGGAATATTAATGCTGGAGAGGGCCTCAGTGGGGGGAGGGACCTTGAGTCCATTTGGTCCCCAACCCTTTCCCCTGGTACTCTCAGTGTCTCAAACCTGAGGATGTGGCCGAAGCTGTCATCTATGTCCTCAGCGCCCCTCCGCATGTCCAGGTAAGTCTGACCTTGACTGTGTACCCACTGAAGGAGCCCAACCACTCCCAGAGGAAGGGAGCAGGGAAGCCTTTAAGGGGGACGGGAGAGTGCCCTGGCTACCTCAAGCCTTGTGCCTTCCGCAGATTGGAGACATCCAGATGAGGCCCACGGAGCAGGTGACCTAATGTCCTAGGGGAGTACTTCTTTCCCACCCCATGGCTTGACTCCTGCCTCTGGTGTTGGTTCTGGATCCCTGGATTCCACTCCCCTTCTCCACTCCCACCAAGGGCTAGAAAATTTGTCAGAGGTTTTTTATATTATCTTGTCAAATTGTTTCCATTGCAAATGTGAAAAATGGGCCCAGGAGAGAAGATAGTGACCCTGATTGCTTTACCTGTTAACTTGTTTTTGGGCTCCTTGGCCTTTGCCTGCTCTCCTCAGTATCTTCCCTTTGACCTGGGAAAGGGGTTCTGGTGAAAAGGAGGGTTTCCTCCAGTCTTCTTGTACCCCAACCCTTCACCCTCAGGGTTGGGATGGCAGAGAAAAGCACTACCTACCCTTATATCTGAATGATTATCCAGAGCTCCAGGCTTCCTCTTCTCTACACCCTATTTCCTGCCCTACCCCCACCTCCAGCTCTCCAACCCGATTTTGGCTTCTCAGCTTGGGTGGGGTCATCACTCTGACTATGGCAACAGAACACCGGGCCTAGCTCCCAAGTGGATTTCACTGTGATAATTAAAACAAAAATCCCAAGAAGCCTGCATTGCTTTAGAGTGTCTCAGTTCTTTCTCCTTCTCTGTGGTGGGGGTGACTGTGCCTTGGAATTTCTTCTAGGTGAGAGGGAAGGTGGGTAGATTTGGGGTGTTATTCCTAGAGGGTGGATTACTTTAGGTAGTAGGAGTGGGTTTGAGTTGGGTCTTGAAATGAATAGGAGTTTGCCAGCCAGAAAAGAAGACAAATGGTGTGCAAGGCTGGAGGGCCAGGAAGAGCATGCACTGTTGTGAGAACAGCACAGAGCTGGGTTCAGGAATGATGGGGCTAGAAGGTAGCTCCTGATTTGATCACTAGGGGTCTGAACGCTGAGCAAGGGAGGCTGGCCTTTACTTGTGGGTGAAGAGCATCTGTTGGTGTGACAGCAAGGGGGCAACAGGAGCAGAGTTGTCATTTAGGAAAAGAATCAATGGCCACAGGACAGAAAGTTAACCGCTGGGGTCCTGCTGACTGTCAGTGAAAGTCTGACAGGGTAGTGAGGAGGGACTGGATGCAAGAGAGGGCTCTGAGGAAAATCCCCGGCATTGCTGACGGCTTGGATGTGGGGAGGGAGGCACCAGATTGACTTGGTTAAACAAGAACATAGAGCATCCTCTTAAAAACGTCCTTTGCTGGTGTCCGGGTGAATCCGGCCTCCAAGCCTCCTAGGACCTCCAAGTGCGCAGAAAACCTTTCGCAGCTCCGGCCGTTTGAGGATGGCAGGTCGAGCGCGCAGGTGGCAGGGCCTGCTGGGCACGGGTGAAATGAGTGGAGCCGATAGCGGGGTCAGTTAAGCTTGGAGCACTGTCTCCTGGCCCGTCGCAGCGCAATGGAAGTCACCGCTCGGCCAGCCCGGCAGGAGGCGCTGTGGGGACGGCCTGGCGACAGGGCATGCGCGATGCGTCACCCGGCAAGAGGCGGGTTCGCGCGAACCCGGAAGTGGGGTGTCTCCCGTGGAAGGTGGGCGGTTGTGACTGGCCTGTTAAGTTTTGGGTAATCTCAGGGTAGGGTTCGCTGCTTTTCGTTCCTCTGGGGTGGGGGGGGTGGGGGTGTCTGGAGCCGGGCCCCGGCGGTGGTCACTGCTCCCAGGGACGTAGCAAGGGGCATCAGGTCCCCAACGCAGCCCGTACCATGAGGTTGCTCGCGTTTGTAGGGGGCGCGACCTGGTGTTACCCTGGTGGCATCCTCATTCGTCTTTTCTCCCAACCTGCGCGACCTTGGGGGCGTGGGGAGCGGCCTGGCGGGGAGGAGCTAAGCCGCCTGCGGTTCGATGACCTGGCGCCAGGCCGACAGTCTGCTGGGAGACTGGAACTACTATTTGGCCTGTCTCCGTGTCTCCTGGCCCTGCGAGCCGCCCGCCGTCGCGTGGCCCGGCTCCTGCTTCAGGCTGGCAGGGCTGGACTGCAGGGGGAGCGGGCCGAGCTGCTCAGGTTGGCGGAGACGCGAGGCATTCCAGTTTTGCGGCCCCGACGGCGGAAGCTGGACGCCCTGTGCCGCCACCAGGTCCACCAGGGGGTGTGCATGGAGGTGAGCCCGCTGTGCTCCCGGCCCTGGACTGAGGCTAAGGAGGCAAGGCTAGGCGACGACACTCAACAGTTATGGCTCGTCCTCGAGGGGCTCCAGGATCCCCGGAATCTTGGGGCCGTGCTGCGCACCGCTCACTTCCTTGGAGTGGATAAAGTCATCACCAGCCGGAGAAACAGGCACGAGCGCCCCTTATTCCCCATGTGCCCCAATTTAGAGGTGCAGCCTAGTTGCTGAGCACCTTGACTTCTGGGTGATCCTTAGCCAGGCCTCCCCGTCCTCCGAACTCTCACCCTTAACCCTTGGGGGTTGGGGGAGGGCACCGGCCTGGGGATTACCCAGCGTGACGTGGGCGATGGGGAACCTTTGCAGCTGCCCGCTCACCCCAGTAGTCAGCAAGGCCAGCGCGGGCGCTGTGGAGGTGATGAATGTGTTCTCCACTGACGACCTGACCGGTTTCCTGCAGGTAATGATCCCAGCCTAGTCTCTCCAGGACACTCAGCCTGCAGCTGATGGGGGTGGGGGCAAGGGAGCGTGTTGGTATGTATCACTTCCAAGGACCTTCTAGATTCTTTTGGGAAGCATGTAGTCCTGGAGTTTTTAAAACCACAAATGAAGCTTCGTTCTCTTTACTGTTGGGAGGTGGTGGATATAAGACTTAGGTTCCTGGAGCAGGGGCCCAGTTTGAAAGGCCCCCTGACTAAGCAGTCTTTTATGTTCTCTCCCCTGCCCCAAAAAACAAAACTTTGAAATCTAAGAAGGTTCTGTCCATAATCTTAAGAAATCGATCTTTGCCTCTAACTACAGCAGTGCTTTCTTTGCTGGACACAAGGGGGCAGTATTGCCCTGCGTTTAGCAGCTCTGGCCCCTCCAAATCTGGGTGGTGAGAAGCTCCCACTTCAGAGTGTAGATGCTCCCGCATCTCCTTCAAGCCTACACTCAAATGCTGCTCCTTCAGTGAGGAGGCTTTCCCTGACCACGAGACTGGGAGTTTGGTCTGTTTTGTTCACCACCCTGTCCCCAGTGCCTAGAATGGAACTCGGCCCATTCTAGGTGCTTAATAGCCATTGATTGAATTGACTGAATTAGTGAGTGAATGAATGTATGGGCAAGGCTGGGCTTTCTTGGGCCAGGGCTCTAATGAAGGTGTGGTGAGCTGGAACTTGGTTTCTTCTCCTTGCTTGCAGGCCAAGGTCCGGCAGGGCTGGCTTGTGGCTGGTACGGTGGCATGCTCAGGGCCTGAGATTCCCCAGTCCTCCGAGATCCCTGTCACCAGCTGCTTGGAGTTCCTCTGGGACCGACCCACTCTCCTGGTGCTAGGTAGGTAGGTGTCCCAGCTTTTCTGTGCTGAGACATACATCTGAGCACCTAGGTGTTCATCTAGGGGCGTCTCTGACCTCCTGCCCCCTTGCCTGGCAGGGAATGAGGGCTCAGGCCTGTCTCAAGAGGTGCAGGCCTCCTGCCAGGTTCTCCTCACCATTCTGCCCCGGCAGCAGCTGCCTCCTGGCCTGGAGTCCTTGAACGTCTCCGTGGCTGCAGGTAAGTCTTGCTTCTTTTCCTAATGACACAGGCATAGCTTTTCTCTAATCCCATTTTCTGGCTGTTTCATACTAAATAAGTTACTTAGGCTTTCTGTACCTCAATTGCTTGATGTACAAAATGGGGAAAATAGTAGGTCTTGAGGAGATTATGAGGATGAAATGAAGGCGTGCCTGACACGTGTCAAGAGTTCCATCAATGGTGCTTCCCCTCTCTCTTCCCTTTGTCCTTCTGTCTGTCTGTGCAGGAATACTTCTTCACTCCATCTGTAGCCAGAGGAAGGGTCTCCCTGCAGAGGGAGGAAGAGAGCAACTTCTCCAAGACCCCCTAGAGTCTTCAGCCACATTTGAAGTGCCCAGAGCGGCTCAGCCCCCGGGACTGTCTACAAAAGCAGAAAAAGAGAGGCAGAATGAAGGCTGATTCAGACTGCCTGAGGGGTGTGTGTGTGTGTGCATGTGCACATGCGTGTGTACTCTGGAGGGCAGGGGAGGGGCATATAGACATCCACATGCTCACACACATGCCTGAGTCTCTGCCATGTGTGTGCCCGGGCCCCATATGACCACTGCCTTAGGGACCATTGCTTTGGAGACCAGAAATGGTTCGGTTTCCTATTGTGATGTTGACCTTGCAGTTGGAGGTGAAGCCTGTGAATTTCAAGTATGGGCTAGGACAGAGGGTCTCTGCCCTCCTTAGACCCTCTTGGACATCGAAGAGATATGTAGGTGTCAGGACGGGAGGGCGTGGACAGCCCAGTCCAGGGAGCCTCTTCTCTTGAATGAGTTATCGACTCAGATGTGGGTATGACAAGGCCTTCTGTGGGGTAGAACAACCTGGGTGTGGGTGTGGATGCAGCCCCCAACACTTGATGCACTGTGGAGCCTTGAGCACACAGCGTCATCGTGTACCTCAGGGTCCTTGCCTGCATGCACCCCACAGGGTTGCTGTGAAGATCAGATCAAATAAAACATTGCTGTAAGGCACTCAACAAGTGTGGCACTGTCCAGTTCTTCCATTAGGTGGCAGCCTCGCTCTTTGGCCCACAGCCTCTTAGGGGCACTTTCAGAAGCACCTGGGGGGAGCTCTTGGCTGTGGCCCCAGGAGAAGAGAGAGAAAGAATAACAAAACACCTCCAACCCCACCCAGGCTCTTGAGTGTCCTCACCTGTGTTTGTCAGTCAATCCTTCTCCATGGAAGGAACTGGTGAACCAAAGCTCTCACCTTTTGATTCTGTGAGGTGGTGAGGACCGGACTGATGTTTGTTGTATAACCCAGACAAACTTGGCCTCCTCCCCAGGGGCCCCATGATCAGAGCAGAAGCCAGCAGTGTGAGTAGTTTAGAGCAGTGGTGCTGAACCCTGGCTGCTTATTGTAACCACCTTGCAAGCTTGAAAGGGGGGGGCTGACATCAGGGACCCACCCCAGCATCTGTCTGATGTAATTGGTCTGGGTGCAGCCTATGCATCAGGTTAGTTAAAAGCTCCCTGGGAAGGTTCTAAAGTGCAGCCAAGGCCACCAACCACCAGAGCACTATTAGCATTTCAGGCCAAATAATTCCTTGTGGGGGCTGTGCATTAGGATGCTTAGCAGCCCTCGGCCTCTACCCACTCAGGGCCAATAGCACCCCCACACGCACACATTTTCACAACCAAATATGTCTCTGGACATTGTCAAATGTCCCTGGTTGAGAACCACTGCCATGGAGCTTGGATTTGGAGGACAACAGTCCTAAGTTCTAACCCTGAGAGGCTGTCTGACCTGGGACAAGTTCCTTACCCATCTGAGCTCAGTCACCTCTGTAAAATAGGGACAATCTGCCTTCCCGGGTTGTGGGGAGGGAAGAGTAATAGTAACTCAGTGCCTTACCCCTAGTAACCAGCATCTCCCTTTTTTCTGGAATAGATTTCTTTTGGCATTTTAATGATAAATTAATTTAGAAAACATTCAATTTATTTTGTGTTAGACTGGTTCTCTAGAGAAACAAAACCAGTAAAGCTTATATATATATGTATATATAGAGAAATTTATCTTAGGAAAATGGTTCACACACTTATAGAAGCTGGCAAGTCTAAAGTTCCTGGATCAAATGTCAAGCTGGAGGCTTTTCCTAACTCTTGCAGCCGCAGGGGCTGAGGAGCTCAAGGTTGGCAGGCAGTATACCAGCTGTTGACTCCAACGAATGATGAATCCAAGATCTCCAGGCCGAATGGTGGACTGTTCACTCACGGACAGTTGTAGGCAGCACAACAGAATCCCAATTCACAGAAGAATGCCTCTTTTCCCAGGATGTCCTTGGATATACTGGAAGCAGGCCACACCCCTAGGGAAACTCCCCTTCAACAGATTGCCTGCTCAAACATAATCATCTGATCCCATCTATGGGAATAACCACATCACAACAGCTTAAACCACACAGAATTAGGGTACTGCCACCCTAATAGGTGAGGCAGGGAGAAAGCCACTAGGGTGAGACACTGTGCCTGGTTGCTAGTCCAGGAGTGACTCCCCCGATGATTGCCTTTGGGACCAAAAATGTCAATTAACAACATGGCGGAGCAGGTTAGACAGGCTTCTAGCCACCATGAAGTGCCTGTGAACAGGAAAGGAGGCTCCAGACTCCAAGTAACCCCTACCCCAAGGTCTAGATTCCATGCTGGGCTTGGTCCTGGAGAGAAGACTCAACTCTGGACCCCCATGTGGCAGGAGTACCATGACACCTGCATTGTTTCCATCAGGGTTTGTTACTGGTGCTAACCCTGGGAGTGTACAGCCTTATAGTTACTCCTTTTTTTTTTTTTTTTTTTCATCTTCCCTATTGAGGAAAGGAGCTCTGGTGGCGTAGTGCCTAAGGCATTTAACTACTAACCAGAAGGTTGGCAGTTCAAACCCACCAGCCACTCTGCAGAAGGAAGATGGGGCAATCTACTTCTGTAAAAACGTACTGTCTCGGACACCCAATGAAGGGGTCACTGAGTCGGAATGAACTTGATAGCAGCGAGTTTGGTTTTGTTTTGTTTTTCCCTGTTGAGGTAGAGCAGGTGTTAACGGCATTACCCCCAATTTACAGGAGATGAAGATGTCATCCGGCTAGGAAGTTGTGGAACTTGGGAACTTAGCTGCACAGTGGGAGGGGCTGGGAGTTTTAAGAACTACTGACAGTTGGCCCCAGAGATTGAGTTAACCAGCCTGGGTGTCTCTGGGTATGGGGAGACACTCCCTGGTGACATTAAGGTGCAGCCAAGGTTAAAAATCACTGCACTGGGCTCTTGGCCAAGAGTGCTTCAGATAGGGGAGGCAGTGTACTGCAGTTGAGACTGACCGACTCAGTTGTGGTCAGACCCTGGTGACAGCCTGGGAACCAAGTGCTCACAGGGACCATGCTGCAGTTTACAAAGGGGTTTCTTCCTCTCTCTTGAGTTTAAAGCACTCTTATTGTTGTTGGGTGCTATGTTCAACTCAGTGACCCCACGTGCACAGAACTGTACCACAGGAATTTTCTAGGCTGTAATCCTATGAAGATCACCAGGTTTTCTCCCTCAGAGCTGCTGGGTGGGTTCTAACTGCCAATCTTTCAGTTAGCAGACAAGAGTGCTTAACCACTGGGCCACCAGGCTACTTAAGGAGCTCTTGAGCGCTTTCAAAATGTTCTGGTTATCTAGTGCTGCTCTGACAAGAATATACCACAAATGGGATGGCCTTAACAAACAGGAGTTTATTCTTAGAATTTGGAGGCTTTAAGCCCAAGTTCAAAGTGCCAGGTTCTAGGGGCTGGGTGAAAGCCCCTCAACGTTGAGGTCCAGCTTTGCCTCCTGCTCCCAGCCCACTGAAGCTAGAGGTGCTTTTTCACTCAGACAGCTGCTAGCTGCTGAGGCTGAGAAGCCCCAAGGTTGACAAGTAAAAAGGCACAGTCCCGATGTTACCAATCCACATGGCAGGCCATTAACTTAAGTCCATTGTAAGTCCAAAGGTCGACAGAGCATAGCAGGCTGCTGAGCAACGACACGGCTACATACAGGGTCAAACGTGCCATAGGCTAGAGACCATTCTCAAAGCTTCTCCTTATATACAGGAAGCAGACCACATACGCAAAGCAGCTACTCAGCTGCTCCTAGTAGATTCCACCATGGAGTTAATTACCAGTCTCATCATGGGGAGTACTACATCCAGCTGCCCAGCCACTCAACCAGGCCTAGCCAAGTTGACATACAAACACAACCATCACAATTCCACCCCTTGTCAACTTGGCACCTGTACAATCTTCAATGGGTGGTATCTGTACAGATTTCCTCCGCTGGGTGGCTCCAGTCCCCTAGTTCCTGAATGACGACCTCACCCCCTTTGCCTAGAAACAGGCCGTTCCTCTCCTTCCTGGGCATGGCAGCCCCGCCCCCTCACTCTTGGGCAGCGGCTGTGGCTTCATCCCAGTGACTCACGTGAACGAGCAGCCCCACACTCCAGAATCAAGTTGGTGAAGGAAGGCCTGGCTCTTTGAAACCTAGGGGGCTGTGGTCGTTCCACTCCCAAAGGCCATGGTCCTACCCTTAAGGCTGAGGCAGCTCTGCTTCCACATCCTTGGTCTCCGCTTCCTCGATTAATGCCCGAGGGCAACCCACTGTGCTGAAAAACCGTGCCCAAAAAGTCCTCAGCTTTTTTTTTTTTTTTGCTCCATGGGCCGGCCAACCTGCTACTCCATTTCATGCCGATCTTTTCTACCAATTAATGCCCGAAGGCAACCCACTCCGCCAGGAAGCCGCCTAACCAAAGGCATCAAGCTTTCTCCTCCATGGGCTGGTAAGGCTGTCGCTGAATCATGCTGGTTCTCTCCACCGTCATGGATCCCACACAGCATTGCTTCGGATCAAGGGACTCATTTCACAGCAAATGAAATGCGGCAATGGGCTTATGCTCATGGAATTCACTGGTCTTACCATGTTCCCCACCATCCTGAAGCAGCTGGTTTGATAGGATGATGGAATGGCCTCTTAAAAACACAAATATGGCGCCAGCTAGGTGGCAATACCTTGAAGGGTTGGGGCAATGTTCTTCAGGAGGCTGTATATGCTCTAAACTAGCATCCAATATATGGTTCTGTTTCTCCAATAGCCAGGATTCACGGGTCCAGGAACCAAGGGGTGGAAACAGGAGTGGTACCACTCACTATTACCCCTAGTGACCTACTCAAAAAGTTTTTGCTTCCTGTCCTTGCTACCCTATGCTCTGTGGGTCTGGAGATCTTAGTCCCAAAGGGAGGAACACTCCCACCTGGAGACACAATACTGATTGCATTGTACTGGAAATTAAGAATGCCATCTGGCCATTTTGGCTTCCTCATGCCTCTGGATCAACAGACAAAGAAGGGCATTATTGTACTGTCTAGTGTGATAGAGGGAGCTCTGGTAGCATAGTGGCTAAGGCAATTG